GGAGATGGTGTGAAATACATTATCTTACACTTTGTGGATATTGGATTGGTTGTAACACTTTTTGCTTCAGCAGCTCTAAGTTATAGAAGGTTTTCAGTCTTCAGGAGAGTCCAGACAGAGTCTTTTGTGTCCATGATGGAGGTTTTTAATGCATGTAATGTGTCTATGGTTGATTTTCTGACTGAGTAGAGTAGGACAGGTAAAGGGGTTCTCCCACATTGTGTCTTCCCAGAGAGAAATGGAGAGAATGAACCAGCTCAGCCAAATAATAGGGGTTGTTGTGGCCGAGTGGTTAAGGCGATGGACTCGAAAGCCGGTGGGGTTTCCCCCGCGCAGGTTCGAATCCTGCCAACAATGACTTTTATACAGTTTCAATCACATGTATAATAGATATGTCCTGCTTGGCCAATACTTGTAATAGGATAAGCTCACATAGGTTCAGTCAGTTTTCTGACCTATTCTAGTGAGTTAGCTTCAGTCAGTTAGCATTGTTGTTGTTCAATGCATCAGAAAAATCAATAAATAACCAGTCAGAATAGTCAATAAATGTTTAATCATTGTGGAGGTGTGTTTTCATGACATTTTGATGGATTTATATGACTTATTTTGTTAAGTGGTTAGCACTTAATTCCCTCCCGGCCTGCTAATTTAGCCGCGGCCTGCTAACGAGGCTATGTGCAGTTCAAGTGCATTAGCTGTTGTTGTAACTGCTGGTGATGCAGAGGAATGCTGCGTTTATGGCGTTTACATTTCATGTGTTTAAAAAAGTGGAATATGTCATTCATTTTTATAGTTAACTGAAATTTTACTTTAAAACAAAGGACAATTAATGAAGAAAATGCATTAAAGTGTAGAAGTCTAAGGGTTCTGCATACCTGTGTGCAGACTGTGTTTTTAGGGACTCTTCCATCTGTGCCATGTGAGGAACTGCTTCACCGTGGTCCAGGACTTCATTACAGCTGTGGATGCTTTCTGCGTGTCAGGACGTGGGACAGGGATGCTTTCTGTACCAGGAACCAAGCCCAAAGGAAACCCATCTGAGAGCTCCTTATCCTTTGCTTTGACACTTTTTTCTGCCTGAACCTCAGGTTGGTTGGTTTTAGCCAAGACTGACTGATAGTTGGAAACCGGGGAGCATGGGAAGTAAAGTGGTTTATTTACTGTTTTGTTTTTCCTAATTTTGTGAGTTATTAATATATTTTTGTTTTACATCCATTTTTGTTTGAATTGTTTTTGAGTAAATAGTTTTTGAAGAGATTTCTGCTTTAACAGAAGGTAAATGAAACTCATCAGGATGTCTACATAAAGATATGTTTCTGTCTCCTAAACTGTGGTCCTGTGTGGGTTGGAGGTCTTATTAACTCTCTTGCAGAGCCTGCTACTGCCAGTCTCCTTTCCCAAACCTAGAAGATCAGTGAGCCTGAATCTGAGTAACCCCGTGATAATCCTGAGCTGTATAGTTCTATATTTCTGATCCAGACCCTGGATGTAGATATTATGGATGCTATCCTTAGGTCAGCAGCACAGATCTCTTCTGTAAGAGAGAGGGACACACGTCCAGGTTCCACTAACATGCAGGAG